AAACTTCAATAAACATTTCAAATTTTGTCCCAAGGTAGACCTTTCAGTACTTGACATTCAAAAAAAATTATTAAAATAGATTCACAACTTCAAATTTTAGGGGGGTGTTTCCATTAAAAATGGGTCACACTGTATATGAATAGAGTGATTACGTCACTTTTTCTAACAGTGAATTTTTTTGAAATACTATTCTCGTATTGGACCATATAAGTGGACTGTTTAAGGTGAATGTTCAAATTTCGCGGCGTACATTCAATTAGGGATTTTTATTAATTCATATTGGTACTCTCATCACGAACAAATATTCACAGTTTCAGTTGTTAAGCATGTTTAGTTTGTTGGTAAGAGGCATAAAAGTTAGAAGTATACTGACCAAGAGTGGTACATATCAGAAATAGGCGATGGACCGTGACTGCCCATCGTTTTAGAGGTTCAACTCAGTACACCTCGAATTTCACTGTTTAAGAACAGTGAAATTGATGGAAGTCTATTATATGTTTACTATGCCCTTATGAATTATGTTCTATCTTATAATGGGGTCCTATGAGAAGATTCAACAAATATTAACGGGATATTAACGAATAATCGGTATGCTTTACAATCTACGTCATACTGATTTATGTCGACCTGTTTTCAAGCAAGAGAAGATATTAACAGTACCTTCTCTCTATATTTATAACTGTCTGCTCTTTGTGAAAAAATGCGAACTTGAATCAGAAACTAACCCCCAATGTCATAATTACGCAACAAGGAACGGGAATTTAATCATACTATAGCAACATGGTACAAAATCATTCGAAAAGACGCCATCTCCGGCAGGCTCAAAATTCATCAATTGTCTACCTTCCACCTTCCAACATGATAGCATCAATTTCAGTATTTAAACGAAGAATCAGAGACTATCTCGTAGATGGTTGTTTTTATAATATAAATGAATATCCACAATCGCCAATCTACAATTAATTTCATGTATTACCTATTTCGACAATTATGTGTATGTATTAACACTTTTTATTGCCCTTTTTTCTCTATACGAGCATTCTCATGTGTTGAATTCATGTATTTTGTAATACTTCTTCATATGCAGATTCATTTTTGGTAAAGAGAGGTTTTGGCTTTCTACTTCTCCATCTTCATTCAAAAAAATGTAAGCATATTCCAAAGGAAGAAGAAAAGCTAATAATTCCAAAATAACCTCTGTTTAGTGGAAATATCACAATAAAGTGTTTTTTTGAATACATTATGGATTTCCATCGAGTATCAGCCGTTTCCATCACATATACTAAATGTCACTTAAATGAAAAATCATGTAATCATCCTCGATGATGTTCATCGAAGTTTCTGGACAATACACTTGACGTATCACCTCATCAGCACCTTCTCAAGAATTACATCCATGCGGGAGCAGATCTCATTTTATTATTATAAATTCCATTTAAGCAATTTAATAATTTTGAAATGTTGTTCTGCTTTAAAAACACCTTTGACATCATGTAAACTGACCTGAAAACTAGACTGTATGTTTTATATTTGAAATAGTATTTATAGTATATGGCATGCTTTTGGTAAAAACCCCCTTTTCAAAATATCTCAGAAGAAATTGAAGTTTGGATAAAAATGGTATTGTTTAATTTTTTAAACTCCCTGTTGTTCAGTTATAATTGTGGCACAATAACTATCTTCAGTTGTTCTAATTACGTTACTTCTGTTCACATGTGAACAACTATTAAAATTTACCGATATTTTTGAGTAATATTTATCGAAACATTTAAAGTTGAGGTTACAAGCAAAACCAAATAAGTAATTTATATTTTCACTCTCATTTTCAGGCTTGGCCATATTTTCTCTTGTTCATGATTCTGGAGAATATCATTCTATGGATGGACGAGAAACCAACGTACAGATTGAACGATGGATTAACTAGCCTATCTCATGGCCTCATACATCATTCCGGGAAGTAAGTATCAGAGTTTTCAAGAAAAACGTGGTAATTCAAAATTTGCATATCGCAATAAGATTGAAGCAATTCCGGAAGCGATTTTATAGTGTCATTTATCTTCCAGCCAATTACTAATACAAAGAATTCACGTATACATCGTAATTGACCTATGAAAAATGCTGTACTCGTACAGACTATAATTGAGTTGTTCAACGTAAACAATAAAATGTGCGGTGTTTTTACCGGGTAAGATTTGTTCCTGTTTCCTTACACTCTAATACATTCAATAATACTTTCACATGCAACGTAAACAAAATTACAAAATTACGGATCGGATTAATTTACTTGAATATTTAACTAAACAAAAAGCGAACACAGCCGGATTTTTAATATTGAAAATAAAAAGAAATAATGATGATAATAAGTGCACTTATCACAAATAGATATAAAAGAAAACAATTATAATTTGACCCAATGACAAATAAACAAGAAAATTAATCCGCGCTTGGTGTAAACTTCATATTATAAGTATGAAAGATCATCGACAAAGTTTTTCGGTTGTGAATTAAACATAAAACAAATTTATTTTGATATTTATACAAACATAAAACTACGGAAATTATATAATTGACCCATATTATTTTAATTTATGGTAGACTAACATGTTCTAATTGTATATAAAAATGTTTGCAAAGTGCTCAGGTGGATATTATTGAATTTTCAATCTATCATTGAACATCTGATTGGAGTTAATTATTTAAAATTTCATCGATAGTTTATTGAAACGTTTTATGCCTAGGAAAGTATAGCAGTTTTGGGTACTACAGCTTTTGTTCTTTGCCTAGTGTCATAGGTGTTGGAATTCAGATAAGTTCATTTTATAAGTGAGAGTCGTTGTTTTCATTTTTGACATTTTGATTAATTTTGTTGTTGTCTAAATTTGTATCAGAGTTAAAAGAAACTCAAAACTAGCACATATTTTATATTTTTTTTTCGATATGTTTGAATTTTCATTTTGGTTAATTTTTCATGTTTATCGTTTTATTCAATCTCCTTTTTTGGATGTATATGTTGTTATATGTGCGGGTATTTTACTGGGAAAATATCTTAGATAATGTTATAAAATGATGAAAAGGAAGGTTTTAGCTTTCTGTGTCTTCATCTTTTTGGAATCTTTCAAAGAAAGGAAGAAAGCAATCAATTCCAAAATAAACTCTTTACAAAAGTGTGTAGATCATGAAATAAATAATTTTCAAACAAACTGGAAGAAAAAAAATATTTCGAAACAACTACTTTTATATGAACATTGAATTTTACAAAACCAACTTTTGCCTATTCAGTGTGTACTCCAAACTTACGTTATGGAATTGAATCAGATATCATTCGCATGATTCCTACATAATACAGTAAATGAAAGGGTTGAAGTTTCATTTACATGGAACACTGTTATCCTCACCGGTGGACATCCGATGTTTCGCAATCAGATACTTGCCTTATTCCCTCTTCAGCACCAATTTGGATAACATTACAGGATAAAGCACTCAATTCATTAATAAAATTACGATCTTATGTCACGAATGAGTTAAATCCACTCATGTCATTGATGACATGACATGACGCAATGACATTAATTTGCTTATAGCTATAGGAATTTTGTTCAAATTGAAAGGGGTATATTTTTAGGAGAGATTAATTATTGGGAAAGAAAGGTTTTTGCTTTCTACTTCTCCATCTTTATACAAAAACGTGTGAATCTTCCAAAGGGAAGAAGAAAGAAATAAATGAAAATCTTGTGGAAACTAGGAGCCTCCAACGCTTTACTCGATAAGTACTGTCTACACTTTTCTGCACATGAACTGTATTCATGATCTTCTGTATCTCTGTATCTGTAGAGTAGGGAGGGTGAGTGTAGGCCCACAGCCCTTAGGCCACATGTGTCCCATTGTACATCCACCAAAGGAGTTGTCCTCCTAGGTTATCGTCCATCCTGTCCTTTCCTGATAGATGGACAAGTCTCTGGGAGACATCTCCTTTATATCGGCAGGTGTAGGCCGAACACACACTCTCTTATTGGCGATAACTCCGGAGATTCGCATAGGACATGTCCTCCTAGGTTATCGTCCATCCTGTCCTTTCCTGATAGATGGACAAGTCTCTGGGAGCCATCTCCTTTATATCGGCAGGTGTAGGCCGAACACACACTCTCTTATTGGTGATAACTCCGGAGATTCGCATAGGACATGCCTGACAGTTTCATCTTCCTATTCACAGATCCTGCATAGAGGTGTGTCCACTAGCCCCATATTGTGGAGGTGTTTCCTTAGTTGACAGTGGCCAGTCAGAAATCGTACTGTTAAGCTTAGATTTTTCCTGGTCATCGCCAGATATGTCTTCGGCGCCAGCTTCCCAGGGTCGTCCAAAATGATCCTGGCAAGATTGCATCCTTTGATTCCATTCCATCTCTTTAGGGAATGAGCATGGGTGTGATGTTTGGTTGGTTCCGCAACTGTCGAAGTCATCAGGCCGTAGGTGCCACTGGGTCCTAAAATTCTCAGTCCAGCCGCTTTCTTGGCTAAAGAATCGGCAATGCGATTGCCTTTTCTCCTGTCGTGCCCTTTAATCCAGTTCAGGATAATGTTATTATCTACCGAGGCTTTGGCTAAATCTTGGTGGCACTCTAGTATACTAGCCCTGAGGTAACATGTTGTCTGTTCAAAGCTAATAGGGCTTGTCTGGAGTGGAGATTGTTATGTTTTTGCCAAAAATTCCTTTCCTGGTTATTTTTTTTGTGGCTATTGAGATACCAGCCAGTTCTGTTTGAACTACGCTGGTATTTTTTCCCATTCCCCACTTAATCCTTTAGGCTTAGTGATCTGGAGTACACTCCACATCCTGAGCCTTCTTTGGTTTTCGAACCGTCTGTATATATGCGTATTGCATTCGTAACATCTGACTCTGTGTTCTGTTTTATTTGTATTTTTAGGGTTTATTTAACACAAACCCAGGTTTGTGCTGCAATTGAACCCAGAATTGCATCACTGGTTGCCTGCACTGCCAGCGCAATAAGCGCTTCTCGTCATAGGCTCAGCCTCAATTGACTTATTCCTACTTCGAGGTTTACACCAGCCGTTCGCAATCGTAACATGGGCATTAACGCAATCTCCGTAACGTACAGGTCTAGAGGGGTCAGATCAGTAATTATTTCCATTGCCGCGATTGGTGTCGTTCTCATGGCTTGTTCACACAAACCAATCGCTGAATTTGATATGATTTTTGGATGGCAGTTGCTTGTATAACTTTCGGTCCCCATGCAATGGCTCCGTACGTTAACATAGGTCTTATTATTGCAGGGTAGATCCAGGTGACCACACGGGGTGAAATACCCCATGCGCGTCCCACTGTCCTCCCCAATATTGCTCATAAGCCACATACGCTCCTTTTGATCTACTCTGTAGGTGAGAGTTCCATGTTAGCTTCCTGTCGAGGATAGTACCAAAGTATTTCACCTCTTCAGATAAGTTTAGTTTGTTTTTGAAGATTTCGGAATGTTTCAAGTGAGTGTTCCTTACACCATGTTTCTATTAATTTGAGCCCATCCTGCGCTCTATCGCACAGTGTTTTCAAAAATTTGCCTGTCTGCATGATAACTATGTCATCTCCATATGCAATTGTGTAGTTAGAATCCATTATTGTTGAGGAGATTAATTAGGGTATCCAGAACTATATTCCAAAGAAGAGGTGATAAGACACCTCCCTGTGGACATCCCCTCATGACCAGCCCTCTCACTGTGATGTCTTCTACATTGATACTTATTGCTCTACTAGAGAGCATCTTGAGTATCCATTCTCTTACTACCAGAGGTACATTCCTGGAGTGTAGTTGCTGGGTAATTGTTGGGAAGGTTGTTTTATCAAACGCTCCCTCGATATATATGAATATACCCAGGGTGAATTCTTTGTTGGTCAATGATCTTTCGATTCTGCCAACCACATGGTGGAGGGCCGAATCAGTAGACCTTGCCGGAGTATATGCATGCTGATTTGGATGAAGTGGGTTGTGAACTAGTACTCCATCTCTTATGTACCGCTTACATAGCATCTCCATAGTTAAAAAAAAGATGTGAAACTAATTGGTCGGAATGCTTTTGGTAATGTGTAGTCCATCCTATCTGGTTTGGGTATAAATACTACTCGTATTTCTCTCCACTTACTGGAAATATACCTCAGAGCTAGAGAGGCCTTGAATATTCCAACCAGGTGCGGCATAAGAATATCCAATCCCAATTGAAGTAGGGCTGGTCTTATAACGTCAGGTCTTGGTGACTTGAAGGGGGAAAAACCCAATATGGAGAGCAATATGGCCCATCTTATCTTATCCTCATCAGTTCCTGCAGTAGCAGATTGCCAATCGTATTGTGAGGGTGAAGTTGTTACTTCCGTCAAGTTCGTCATTCCAGGAAAGACAGAACCTGGGAAGTGAGTTTCCATAAGAATCTCAGCACTCTCTTGTAGGTTGGCGGCTTCGCCGCCATTTTCCCTCGTCAGAAGGCCGATACTCTTATGGTGGTCGTTTGAGAGTGCCTTCTGTAGCCTAGAAGCTAGTGCGAAGACTTCGACTGCCTCACAAAAGGCTCTCCAGACTTCTGCAGACTTTTTTGAACTCTTTGAGGTTGGCTTGATATATACCCCAGTCCTCTTGAGTCCTGTACGTTTTGCCTTGTTAAAGGTCGTTCTCGCTGCCTTCCTGAGGTGTTTCAGTTCAGTTCATTGATGAATTGATAGATGACAATTCCAATGCATTCTTGAGATGAATTAGAAATAATTTCGAAAAGTTTGCAGTTGTTTTCATTTTGACCGTAAAACATACATCTTGTATGAAATAGGTACGTTATGAAATTTCATCCTGTGTAACTCACGCTCGTTAGGAATCTTGTTCGTCACACTAATTGAAATTTTTACTGATTTGTTACATTACTAGCTATTATTTAGAAGTATCTGAATCAATGTAGTTAACATAGAGGTCAAAACCTCAGTATAAAAGTTTTGTGTAATATAAATAAAAAAGTATTTATGTAAAATTTCAGTTACAAAAATTGCTTCAGCGGTATTTTTAACAGGTCAAAGGTTTCCTCCAGTCGCTTCGATAAATTGTCGTTTATCATAGAGATCTAATTAGTGCAGATAGAAATGTCCGGTGTGAAACCTTTTTGATTTAAATAAAATAGAATTCCTAACCTAATAAATATTTTCATCTATTTCAGATTTGTCTTCAGAACTGCAGAAAGCTACACTTACTTTTATTTATATCAACATTTTCGACTAGTGAATCTTCCTTGGGATTCTCAGATAACTTGGTATTTAGCCGCCATAGGAGTAGATTTCTGTTATTACTGGGTACACCGTTCCTGTCACGGTAAGATCTTAAAGGAACACATAAAATATGTCTCAAATTTATTTTCACATTTCACAGAAATTCACATTTTGTGGGCACAACATCAAGTCCATCACAGTTCCGAAGAATTTAATCTGGCAGTAGGATTGAGGCAGTCATTAGTACAAGGATGGTGTGGCTTTGTAAGTGATGTATTTTTATTCAATACGGTGATTTTTTCAAATTCAACTACAAATTCGTGAAACATGTCAATTATAAATGAAGGGACACCTTTTCGAAAATATCTAATTTTAATACAATTCAAAACGATGGGGTTTGTACGTTGTTTCTACAGAATGCAGAATTTTGAAAGCCCTGTTGTCCCCTGATTTCTGTTAGATTTATAAACAAATAGGTAATTCCAATTCGAAAAAAGTATAATTTGAGAATTTGCATAAACAACGTTATTTCCAAACACTTTATATTTTGATTTGGCAAAAATTGAAATGAAAGTTTCAGTCTTTCTGTTTTGACCGTGTCAGACGGTACCTATGAAAATGGACGAGGAAAAATCGAGTTGCTTGTTAAGGCAGGCTCTAGAATATCCAGAAGTTCCGAAAATTTGCCTGGAGTCATTCGAAAATACTGGAAAAATTTCTCCTCGTCTTCTTTCAGATCATTGAAATGATGATGAAACTCTCCCAGATTTGCCCTCTTTTGATTAATGGGATGGACTCACAACATTCTTTTTTGTGACTATTTTCTTCTACATTCAATAATGTGGCCGCTATAATGACAACTTCTTCGTCAGAACTGCTAGTGATAGACATGTTTCTGTCAGCGCTCGATGTCAACAGAAATTTCCTTGAAATCGAACAAACAGCACCTTCCGTATGACTGGACAAGTGGGCGATACTACTACCCGTTGCCATCAGGCGACGGACAGCGCCGTGCTGTACTGTGCCGGGCAAGTGAGCGACAAGCTTAAATCATAATATCTCGTTGTTTATCTCTCATGTAAGCTAATGCTTATATGAATCAGTTATTTCAACTTCTAGTTCTCGTTCTCTCATTAGATTAACTTTCATGAAGTGCGAAGTGGGTATTCACTTCAAGAATAGCACGCAGAGCAGTACTGTAAGTGTCATTGCCAATGCAGGAATAACTTCACTGGATATAATCCAACGCCCTTCGTGGTATTAGCCAGGGGAGTAGTTGTTTTTTGATGGGTGTCACTCTATTAACCTACAGTGTAGGGAGTTGAGAATGGCCTGAACGAATTTTTCCTTTAGATGATTTGATTTATAACCAGTCTTCAAGTATGCCCACTGACTCTAAGTGAAAAACCCTCAAATAAACGTGGTGGAATGAACCACTAATTGAAAATTTTATTGATTTGTTACATAACTAGCTATTATTTAGAAGTATCCGAATCAATGTAGTTAAAATAGAGGTCAAAACCTCAGTATAAAAGTTTTGTGTAATATAAATCCCTCATTTGAGGGTTTTCTAAATGAAAAAGCTTCAAATGGACGTGGTGGAATGAACCAAAAGGGTCAAAATTATATTCATAGTGTTCCTAAGAATATCACTTCCTTCAACCAGTGAAGGTTTTCAATTTCAAACGTTTGATAGTTTGTTATTCAGAAATTCCATATACTTAAACCTTAGCCGGTATTTCAATCGCCACAAAAGTATTAACCAGGAAAGGAATTTCTGGCAAAAATATAACAATCTACACTGACAACAGGCAAGCCCTATTAGCCTTGAACAGACAACGTCTTATACCTTAGGGCTAGTACTAGAGTGCCACCAAGATTTCGCCAAAGCCTCGGTAGATAATAACATTATCCTGAGGTGGGTTAAAGGGCACGACAGGAGTAAAGGTAATCGCATTGCCGACTCTTTAGCCAAGAAAGTGGCTGGACTAAGAATTTTGGACCCAGTGGCACCTACGGCCTGATGACTTCGACAATTGCGGAACCAGCCAAACGTCACACCCATGCTCATTCCCTAAAGAGATGGAATGGAATCAAAGGATGCTATCTTGCCAGGATCACCTTGGGCGACCCTGGGAAGCTGACGCCGAAAAAGTATCTGGCGGTGACCAGGAAAAATTTACGCTTAACAGTAGGATTTCTGACCGGCCACTGTCAACTAAAGAAACATCTCCATAATATAGGGCTAGTGTGCACACCTCTATGCAGGATGTGTGAACAGGAATATGAGACTGTCAGGCATGTCCTATGCGAGTGCCCGGTGTTATCGTCAATAAGAGAGTGTGTATTCGGCGAGTCTTGGCCTACACCTGCCGATATAAAGGAGATGTATCCCAGTGACCTGTCCACCTTTCTGGAAAGGACAGGATGGACGATGGCCTAGGAGGACAACTCCTCGGGAGACAATGGGTCACATGTGGCTTAAGTGCTGTGGGCTCACACTCACCCTTCCTACTCTACAGATATAGATACAGATACTTAAATCTTCATCAAATAGAATTAAGTAATTCAATATGCCGATTAGCGTGTTGAATAGTAAAATGTATCATTATTAAAGAATAATAATTCCATATCTGTACTATTTATTCAAGTATGTGAAAAGTTGGAAAAATATTTTCTGACTCATTTTTTTTCACGAAAATCAATAGATACTTATAATTCAATAAAATTGTTCATGCACATTATCCTTAGATGAACTAGTTATTCCAGTGTATCATCTCGGCCATATAGGCCTTTGATAACTGACAATATCATATTGACTTGTTTAAATTTATAAATAAATGACACTCATTATGTTTTATATATTTCCAGATCTTCTATCTTCCATTGGCGTTCATCATTCCTCCAGCACATTTTATAACTCATCAACAATTTAATCTTCTTTATCAGTTTTGGATTCACACAAAAACCATTACCACTCTTGGACCCCTTGAATACGTATTCAATACGCCTCAACATCATCGCGTTCATCATGGTGAGTAAGAATATAAATTAGAATAGCCGTACTTTTTTCATGATATACACAGTAGTTGTATATATTTTCAATGTATTATTCAACTTTCAAAATAAAATTCATGCATGAGATCTCATAAACCGTGAATAAGAGTATGGTAATAGTTAAATAATTCGGAATTAGTTATGGCTGCTTCATATAGGCCAAACTTTTATTTCCTTCCCCTTTTCTATTAGATTTGTCGCTATGAAAAGTAAATATTACTGGAGTTTTTTCCCAACACCAAACTGTTATTTTAACACCTTGACACGTGTTTCGAGCACCGAGTAATCATCATCAAGAGGAAGATCAAACTGAACATATTTACAAAGTTATCCTCATTTATACCCTAGATACCTCTTCTAGATACCTCTTCTAGATACCTGCGTCAGCGTTTTAAGTGTCTCAAATTACACGAATTAATGAGAGTATGAAACAAAACCGATTCCAGGTAGAAGGTTGCTTTTATGAAAAGCAGAAGGGAACGGCTATGGGTAACCCCTTGTCCCCCTACCTGGCAAACCTGTTTATGAGCAGATTTGAAATGAAAACCAAAGAAAAGTCAAAGTATTTTCCTAGGGTATACCTAAGATATGCGGATGCTGTTTTCGCGAATATTGAGGACTTTGTTTCCTTTTTAAATAACAGATTTCCATCAATAAAATTCAAGTATGAGTTAGAAAATAAAGGGCAACTTCCATTTCTTAACGTTTTGGTAATGAGGGGCCAATATGGAGGACTAGGACGATGTATTAAGAAAAGAAACAAGCACGTACAGGTACATTCCTGACAGTTCACATCACTCTGGACAGCACAAACATGCTGGGCTAAATTTTCTAGTGCATCGTCTTTTGACTTTTCCTCTCACATATGAGAGGTTCACAAAAGAAAAACGTACAATACAGGATATTGCAGCCACTAACGGTCAGCGCCCGATATCCAGCTATTGCGCCGCTCCGGGCAAAATAATATTTGCCGCCTTTTACCCATGCGTTATTCCATAGATGGTGTAATTTTAACCTATAAAAAGACAAATTTGTCCTGCCGTTATCAACGAAACAAAATAAGTTTCATTTTGAGATATTTATTCAAATCCAGCATCCAGCACAGCGTGAAGGACGCAGTGTGACCATATTTTATTTTTGTAATCTACTAAAATATGATGTGAAATTTCTGTGATGTCAATAGTGCTATATTATATTCTAACAACTTTTGTGTAGGGTGTGGTTTTTTTCGTTTAACCATCTTTCACATTTTTGCCGCCGACCCCGCGCCTTCCTCAATTTGGCCGCCCTGAGCAATTGCCCGGTTTGCCCCCCCTAGATCGGGCGCTGCTAACGGTTTCTCGAAGGGTATTGTAGATGATATAATAAGGAAGAAAAAGTTAAGGTTGAGAATAAATGAAATCTCGACTTTTAAAAACGACGAAAACCAAGATGAATATATTTCAGTTTCATATCACCAATACACGAAGAACTCAGGAAAGATTTTCAAGGAACTAGGTATGAAGGTGGTTTTTAAAACAAGTCATACACTACAGAGCCTTTTAGGAAATCCAAGAGACAAAGTCGAGAATTCGGAAAAGTCTGAAATTTACGAAATTAAATGTAAGGAGTGCGATGCAAAATATTATGGATAGATAAAAAGATCTATCAAAATAATATATAAGGAACACTTATCACACTCAGTCGCCCGTCATATTTTGCAACAAAACCAATCCATAGACTTCAGTTTATTAAGATTGGTTAGACTAGTTAACAACAGCAGGCATCTAGATGCCTATGAAAGTATAGAAATGAGTAAACATAATAATGTTATGAATAACGATGGTGGACCAATACCTAATAGTATACTATATAGCTTGTTGAAATAATATTTAAAATATTAGATTTACCTGACTATTACATTAGTACACATTGTAAAACTACGACTAGTAGATAAGGCAATATTGTGAAATTAATTTAAGACACTTAGACGCACGTACCTAGAAGAGGTATATATGGTATAAATAAGGATAACTTTGTAAGTATGTTTAGTTTGATATTCCTCTTGAAGATAGTCACTTGGTGATCGAAATACGTGTCGAGGTGTTAAAATAATGGTTTGGTATTGGGAAAAAATTCCAGTAATATTCACAAACAATGCACCACAAGCACTATGAAAAGTGAGGTGAATATTCAAGTCCACTTCCAAATTTATTTTTTTCTTTCACTCCAAGGAAAGCTCTCTGTGGTATTACTTAGCAAACAAGATAGTGACACCGAAGACAGGCAAAATTTATTTTAACGTTGTTCTTCTTTAGTGTGAAATGAATAAAGAAAGTAACCAAAGAATACATTGAAATGATTTTTGAAGTTTCTTTTTGACTTGATTTTCAAAAAATTCCTTTTAAGAGATTGGGATGATTGTAAATGAAATCACCATTAATTCATTTTCACTGCAATTAGTGATACTATTTAAATCTATCTCGTAAGAGGAGGAAACAACATGTTGAAAAATAGTGTGTTTCAATCACAAAGTATGCTGTTCTGATTTGGAATTGAGTAGTAATGAAAGTTATCGATATCAAGTTTTGTATTTTGTGCATAATAGTAAGTGGCAAAACTTCTTCGTCCTACACTGGAACCTTAGTCATGTTTTCATTATTTTCGAAACACAATGATTATTCACATCTTACTTCAACCTGTTACTCTGCTTGTTAAAATTCAATACATGAAAATGGTATTATTAATAATATCCCATTCTCTATGAGCTGTTTGAAATTGAGTGTTCCAATTGGTTCGTCAAAAATAAAACAATTGTTAATTAAAGTAAATTCTAATGAATATTTCAAAAACTGAGCAAACTTAAAAAAATATTAATTTTTTTTAATTTTAGGAAGTAATATATATTGCTTGGACAAAAACTACGGAGGTGTACTGATTATTTGGGACCGACTGTTTGGTACTTTTGCTAGTGAAAATAAAAACGAAGAAATTATCTATGGCCTTGTTTTTAATCAGCCATCTTTCAACCCGCTTCATTTACAGGTAATTAAAGTATTATTGTATATACCATATGTTTTTTTATCATTTTTTTATATTTATTTCCAAATTTCACAGCAGAGAAATTTGTATTCACATTACAAGATATTATTCTTTTTCTGATATTATCACCCGTATCTCTACAACAAACAACAAATCAGCAAATGATTATTTTTGGAACCATTTGTTTTTCAGATATTCTATACCGACTATGTTATTCGAAAATTCAACAGCATGAAGGGATGGCAAAATAAACTGGCTGCTGTATTTTATGGACCAAGTTGGCAAATAGGCAAACCAAGATTGGGATTGGAAATAGACAAAGTGAAGGTATATCACATAGTTTCTTTCAATTTTTGAAGTCGATTTCTTCATTAAGAAAATTTGACATATTTTCTAAGTATACTACTACAAAAATAGTCAAGTTTGTTTTTTTTTTATAAATGAATACTTATTTGTTTTAGGTGGTAGCTAGAGAAAAATACGATGTGAAATTACCCTTTTGGTGCAACCTATATCTTTTTACTCACTTTTGTGTTGTCGTGTACGGATTTCAACAACTCGCTGCTCATCACATGGTAAGTACCTGTATCAGATTGAACGAATGTAATAATTGATGTACTAGTAATTATTGTAGGTATATAGATTGCGACTTGGAGCATCATTTTTATGATAAGATGACTTTGATATCGAGTTCAAACCTCTCCAGCATATTTCACGTGCAACCTAACAAAAAGCAACATAGTTTTTAAGACGAAAATGGGAAATATAACAATTGCATAAATGATGAAAGATAGTTATAACCAGATGAGTAACAAAATTGTTGATATTGTTATGAAAAATATGTTTTTCGTTATATATATTTTTCAGAATGAAAATTTTCTACAATATGTCTATATCTTAAAAGTCTGTAATTTATTTTGCATTGATGAACAGCTATTTTATATGTTTTTTTGTCGGGTGAAGATTTTGCTAAAAGAGACTCATCTGTTCAAATTGGAAGGGGTATATTTTTAGGAGAGAATAATTTTGGCAAAGTTTTTTGTTTTCTACTTCTTCATATTTTTACAAAAATGTAGCAAAGTTCCAAAGACAGGAAGGAAGCAGTTGGTTTCAAAATAAACTCTTTACAAAATTGTGTAGATCATGCAAAGAAGTCACTTTCAAACTGGAATAAACCCCTTTCGAAACAACTATTTTCATATAACATGACCCCGTTACACTTGTTCTTGTGGGGTTTTCATTAGCCGCAGGTATTTGCGAATAAGCCTCAAACCACAGCAATCCTCAATGCCAACATAACTCATGCCATCGGTCAAATTCAACCTGATTTTTGCGACAAAGGCGTAATAATGACCAGATTCAACTCCAGAACCACATTGAACAATGACTACATGAATATTATAATAGTGGTCAGCTAGATTGGTTTGGTGCTTCCGTCAGAGGTTAAGTCATGTTTGAAGATCATCAGTGTTATTATTAGATTGACTGGTGCCTCGGCTATACTTGTCTTATTTTAGTCAGTTAGTTTGGTGCATATTTGTCAATATACCTGGTCATCACCCGTTAAAAGATATATTTTCAGATGATTTAACAATAAGCTTTGCACGGACTGGTTATCACTCATATTAGGAAACGCAAGTTTCAGAAAGTTACATACGTTTTTGCTACCTCTTGAACATGTACTGCAAAGTAAACAGGTGAGGATTTTTCCACCAAAAAATCTACAAACACAAGACGAGATAGACTGTACGGAATCATTCAATCCAGAGCGGTCAGGAGTATTGATTCTGCTATTTTCTTGCTCACGAAAAGTATTCAACAAGAACCCCAAGAACTCGTAACAATCTTCTTGTCCTAACTTCAAAGACTCCAGGAAATCGGTTGGTGGAAAAGAATATATTATTAATAGTTAACATTTTTGGGTTTTTGGTAATGTTTTTCACTGATTTAGTGAATGAGTAAGTAGGGGCCAGTTTCTGCACAGTCGGAGTCGCGATTGATGAGAAAAAAATCCGGGTGGTAGGCCGTGGTTAAATATTACCTATCAAACATTTCGTCCACTACTGCCGCAGACACCAACAGTGGTATATGCGTTGACTGCGAGGATGAAGTTTATATTTCGAAACAACGACTGACTAACGAGCTACATGTTCACTCGTATCTATAACTTTCAAGCATAAACAGTTTATGCTTGAAACACGAAACACGTGTCGCGGTTTTTGTGAAACCCTTTATAGTGAAATCATACAATAAACTGTATTAATTAGTTTTTTGATATGGATTCTCATCAAGTATGTTTCTATACTTTTAATCGAGAGATCTGGTGTTTACAAGGCTTCAACTTAACTATCCTCCACACTCAGACTGTTACAGCAAACATCTTCAAACCCTAAAACGTATTTTCAGCTGAATTTTGCTGATGGCTACATAGGTTTATGATTCCTAGAACCGGGTATAACTAAGCATCCATTTTTTCATCTTAGATTCACAGCATTCATGTTTCACATGTATTTTAACGTAATCTCAAAAATTTATCACATATGATGGAAAAAGTTCGCAGTTTTTTTATTATTTCAGTCGTTAATTTTTTATTACTGGCGTAATGTAGCCTCTGGTCACTGTCATTAAAATTCGTTTTTTTTTTTCAGAGTTTGAACCCGATTACTGTACTGGGCTTCGTTATCTACATCATAGCCTCACTTACTACGATCGGGATGCTTTTCGATAATCGCCCCCATGCTTGTGTTTTTGAGCTATTGAGGTGCATGCTGTTAGTAACTGCGATACAAAGAATGGAATTTGGAAATATCGATGACAATGTGTTGGTGGCCGTGGAAGTGTTTTTTATGCTTTCCGGATTGTTTTGGTTCCTTCAAAGTATAAAAGTTTTGCAAATGTCTTCAAAACTGAAAGAACAGTGAGACATTACTTAAGGCTTTGACTGTCATTCATAAATGACTTTTGTTATAGTATTGTTTATTGTTAAAGTATTATTTATTTTTGAACAGTTATTTAGTTATAAGATAATTTATTTATAAATAATAAGTCAAACTNTGAAATCAGTGTGCTGTTTACTTTTTTATGGATGTTTACTTTTTTATGGATCTTCTTGATCATACGATTCAGCGGAAACATGATAAAGACCACACGTTTTGCATGTTCGACTTTAACTTCAATTTTACCGACTCACAAAAATAATTTTGAGGCACTTGTTGTATAGCAAACCCTATAACTTCTTAATAACGCGAATTTTCATCTGCCCCTACATCAACCGTCATGATTACCACTGGTTTTACCAATCCGTGGTCAGTTTTAGCTAATGTTAGAAACTCTTCCAAGTTTGAGAAGCGTCTCGAAAATAACTACTTCTGACGTAATCACCATCTAGACCTCTTCGCCCCATGCAAAGCAAACGTTCCCTATAGTGCTTACGTAATACCTGAACGGCCAATTTTTAGGATGTGAATCCTATGATAACCATTGATCATTGATACCTAATAGTTGTAAATTATTCACTGGGATATTTATACATTCATTAATGAAATTTAGATTATAGTGACTGACACCATATATACACGTATGTACCAAAGTGGTTGATAAATTATTATTATTATAAAGGTAAGTAAACATGCAGTTAAGCTGTTTGGCAACGTAATGTTTGTAATGTCACCTGGAATCATGTTGAGCAGTATTCTATTTCAGTTAATTAAGGCACATAAACAAATGTGACAGTTCGAATTGAAACATGGATCCGTTCAGAGAAGGAAAGATAGCAATAACGAAATGAGGAAATGTAGTGTTCAGCTGAAATTTGTGTTATCGAATAAATTTGGTCAAATTGAATAAGCATGCCACTCATTTATTTATATTTTTATTGAGAACCAGGCATAAAGACAACATTAGTATCATTGCAACTTCGTAACAATACCAAGAGAAGAATGGAAAAATCGTCATTATTTTGACTGATAATACCTCTATGAATGTAATCATATATTATGTCCTACTGATATAAACTAAAATAAATCACATGTGTCTAATGAAATTATATTTATTTTGAAATCAAGAGTATCTGCAAAACAATAAGGTATTTCTTAGTGAACGGAAAACAACAAAAAAACTGAGCACAATATTGATTTTTCACATAGTAATGCAACAAATTTCAGTGCAAATAATATCAATAATGCACATTATTAAACTGTAAAATATTTTGAACAACTTCATATATATCATCTTGGTTCCTTTCGCTAACTATTGTTCCCTATAGTATAAATTACACTTCAAAGCAATTCACTTAAGCAATTACCATTACTACTATAAAGCACAATTTCATATAAAATACACCACTAAACATTGAATACTTTATCTCAAAAACGTAGTTTTAAATATATTAATAAATCTTCAACAAGTTTGAGCAGATTATCGGCTCCCAAATGAAGTCAAGGTTGATACCTTTTACTAAAATCAGAAAATGAATAATTTGAAATGATAAATGGAACTTTTAATTGGACCTGGAGCTCTTAGAATTCGAAAGACACGGTAGTGAAAAGATCTTTTGGGGAGGTTGGCTCTCTAGATTTTTTTTTTCTATAATAAATAATTAGAAACTGATGTTTATCTACAGAACCGGTTTTATTTTGGCACTCCTCTACATTTTCAATTCAATTTCAATATGAACTGTATCTTGAATTTTCGATGTTTTGAATATACAAAATAAATAACCTTGCCTGAATAGATAAAACATGCTCAAAATATTTCTTGGTCAGTTTTAATAATGTAATTGGATCCTTGAAATTTTCAATAAAACAACTAACTCTATGGTTTGTCAACCAACTACAGAGGCGAAGCCGACTTCTCTCTCAACTTAGAGTTCGTTAATTATAAGTATGCAAAATCATTTGATTCATATGAATAGTAGTTTATTGAGAACTTCAAAGAAAGAAGATAAAATTGGATGATTCAAAATTACTTTTCACAAAAACATTTCTTATAAGATATCTCTATAGTAATTTTAAATTTTGAAACGTTTTCATCTATTTTTGTTAATACAAACAAAAAAGAGAAAACTATACAAAAAACAGCATTCAAGGTTGCGTTTGGTTTCAGTTTCTGATTATATGCAGTTAGAGGTGGTCAAACTGTCAACTGAACAGTATCTTATACGAGGCCAATATTGAACAGTTAGTATGGTAATTCAAGGCTGCAGTAATAACAAACAAAACGCATCTTGAAATAATGACTCAAAAGTACATCCATTTCTTCAAAGAAAAACTACAGGTGTATAGCAGAAAAAGCCGTTTATTTCTTAAATATTAAGAAAACATATTTATAAAAAGAGTAGTTTGTGCAAACTATCAGGAATATGTTTTTTAAAGTAGAAATGATAAGAAACTGTGCTCCCGCTCCCATCACAAAAAATATGGCCTTAAAATATATATAATTATCTATTTGCACATTTCTTTGATTAATCTACAATAACAAAAAACGATTGCATAGTAAAAGATAAAAGCTGAAAATTTACATAAATAAAAAACGCATTTTATTGCACAAGACAAACAACGCACACATTTGAACATTTCTTTTCAGTGATGTCAGTCATACTAGTGAATTGTTTATTTTGTTGCATTATATAATTACTCAATATATATTAATTAATCCACCACTATATCGCACTATTAAAGTTAATTAATAATAAAATCTTTATGGTTTTCCTGTACAGATAAAGCTAAAATATAATTTATTATAATTTTAAACTTGACAAATGTTCAGTGTCACAAATAGTGCAAAAAATCTTAGCCGCTGCACCCGAATTTCTAAACTAAATGAGTCGCTGGCAGTCTCAATGGAGGCATTTTATGATTTTATTCTGTAGAGGAAAATCTCCTGAAAACAAATTTAAAAGAAAAATTGAATCTTCAATTTTATAAGACGAGATATTTACAACATGTGAAGTTTACTATTTCTGATACTAAAACATTCCAAAATACACAAAACTTATTTTGTAAAGCAGTTCATTATTTCACTCTTAATACAATAATCGAAGTGCATGATTGCTGACAAAGGTTACATTAGGAAACGGCAATGATACCTCCCATTACGAAAACGCCTTCTATGGTATTGACAAAAGACTCAATCCACAAATGTCAATCATGAACGAGGTCCATAAAGCCGATATGTTGTAAAGCAAAGTTTCAACATCGATCGCTGAGCGAGATTCGTCCTTCATCTTTATTTGCAGCTTCTACTGCATAGGGACTTGTTGAAACTAGAGCCCAAAAACACGATATTTTTGATTCTACATTAGAAAGCGCTGTTTCAACTCGTAACAAGTCTCATCAGTGGATCCAGGCTGCATCACTTGAGTAGGATACAATGACATTTATCCTAAGGAAGAAGCCATGTATGAAATTGACAAAACACTCGAATCCCAAATATAAAAAAAAACGAGTCCAACGACAGTCCAGCAATACATTTGTGGTTTAGTCTAGCAACACTGATTAGAAAGTGCTGCCTGGAATGCTGTATTTTTAGGCTGTGGTTTCAACTAGTTGTCTAGCAATAAAAGCTGCAGAGATAGATAAAACGGGTCTTGTTTGACAGTCGATGTCGAAGCTTGGCTTTGCAACAGACCACCTTTGGGAGCCCCGTTCATTGACATTCGTGAATAGAATATTCTGTCGTCCAATAGAAGTCTTCGTTAGCGGAGATGTCACTAACCATTGCTACTTAGGCTTATCCTTTAAGAACAGTAGAGTCCAACAATGGTTCAACCTATCATCACTATGACACGACAAAATTTTGTTGCCTAAGTAAAGGTCAAGTTATTGAAAGTTTCTGGCCGATAAAAGAGTAACCTCCTTCTTGTAAAACATAGATATGGAGGGAGTCAGAAAGCACAAACAAGCGTAATAAAAAGTAATAATTTTGAAATATTCAAATGCGCTCAACACAGAATCACAAGGAAATGTAAAATTAATATGTGTCTGCTTTTCGTCGCAAGCTGGATATCTTTGAAAAAGATAATGCAAGACAAGAATTTATTCATATTCCGACAATTTTTATATATAAAAAGAACTCTGAAGAAGACATTGCAGTGTTTGTAAAATTTCTGGCCGATCTTAGGAACGAATTTGCAACCAGATTCCAAGACTTTGCAAAGATGGGCAAGCTACCTCCGTTTCCTAAATCGTCATTTGAAGTTGATGTAGCAGCAGAATGGACAGAAGTGGCTGCCAAAGGCATCACTTCAAATAGAGATAATTGATTTGCAAAATGTGTCTTTGCAAATATATAAAACGGTATCCACTGAAGAATTTTGGACCATACATCTTCCAGAAAAATATGAAAATTGCAAGAAACTAGCTATAAATTTGGCCACTATGTTTGGCTCGACATATGTATGTGAAACATCTTTCTCAAAGATTAATTTTTTGAAAAACAAATATCGTTCGAGATTAACGGACGCCCACCTAGAAGACGTAGTTCGAATATGCTGTTCCTCTCGAGAACTAAACTAAAGAACTAAACTTAAGACCGTCGTTGTAATTTCTCACATTAATTTTAGGTCTTGTGTTTCATAATTCAGAATTTGATTTTACACCAAAATAATACATAGGAAATTTTTATCAGTTGTTTTTTCATGGACCTCATACAAATTTTCCTACAGGCCACATGTGATAGAATCGGTCGTATTCAAGGAACACTTTATTGTAAGATTTTCACTGATAATATAGATGCGCCCATAGAAGCTATTGTATAGCAAAACACGTGTTGCATTTTTTCAAAACTGTTCAGTGAAAATCTCACAATAAAATGTTTCTTGAAAGGCTACGATGTTTGATTTGAATTCCAATAAATCGTAACTACTGCTGTAATAAATTTAGAAACGTGAAGACCTCTGTGTAAATGATCTACCAAGAATTGCTATTTCTGCAACCAATAATGAATAAATAATAGTAATCATAGGTATATTATTTAGCAACTGAAATAAAACAAATTCACATTATTGTCACTTCATTTTATTTAATTTTTTTATAACCTCAAAATTCCTTTGAAAACCTGAAAATAATGAAGTTTAATGAAAAAAAACTGAAAATAATGGAAAAAAAAAATAAACAAATATTGTGATTGTGAAGAAGCCACTTTTTCATATTATTTTTGTAGGAGGAACGTGAATGAATAACTTTTCAAGTGTTTTCAATGTAGTAATTGAACACTGAGGAACCCCAAAACATTTATAAAACTCAGTATTCATATTTCATGGCAAAAAATTTCATTTATAATTTTAGCTCTATCAGTTTATCAGTGCTTGAGAACATGTGACTTAACTGTGATCACTTGAGTAAGTATTGGCGTTTTGGATCAACGCTTGAAAAAATTTAAAGTATATGATTTTTTCAAGTATTAGTTGTACTAAAAAAAGTATTCTGAAATATTTTGGGATATACATTAAGTAAGTATGCATCGTTTCAAACACATTTCCAAAAATATTTGACATCTGTATTGAGACTTACTAGTCACAAAATTAACTTCAAATTATATATTTTTATGACAATATTTGGACCAAGAATCCTTAATATTTGAATTTGATATGTTCTATCCAGTAATTGAAAATTAGCTGTTGAATTCTGAAAACTCATAATCTTAAAAATGTAAATATTCATGAATCAACTAACTGTCAATACCAGAAACTATTGGCATTAAGAAGTGATATAATATTTTGAGGGAGTTGTGATTTTTTTTTAATATGAGACACAGAAATAATGTAATCAATTTGTGAGGCGGTCACAGAATCAGCGTTTCAGCTCTCTCAATTAAAAAATTGCTTCATTTTAAAGATAGCTTTACTGAATACTTATTCCACTACTACTAATAATAATGACATTTTTTAATACCGACTAAAATTACAGCCTTATTTGATACCAGTATAATAGTTCTTATATGATACTCTTGATCGATATTTTGACTGAAATTATTTCAATTTGTTTGAAAACATTTTATTTTCTCCATAATGTCACATCTGTCAAATATTGAAATAATTGAAAATCGTCTCTAATGAATATTATTATATCCATGACGATTGGTGGTATGTATATGCTCTAAACACGGCAATCATAAATAAATTATTAGGTCATGTCATTTGGCTACATAATGGTAGTTTTATAAGCAAATATTTATATGTATATGCTCTAAACACGGCAATCATAAATAAATTATTAGGTTATGTCATTTGGCTACATAATGGTAGTTTTATAAGCAAATATTTTTACAATAAGATTTAATATGATACTGTGAAATTTCACTTTTTCTTAAATATAAGAATTTCAAAATATAGCATTACCTAATACTTTCATGTTGTAAAAAAGCATCACAGCGTGATTCCTATTTTCAGAATTGACAATGTATGTTCCACTGTGTTTGAATTTTTTCTGGGGCGATTGCATTATCACATTTTCTTGGATTACCACGAAGAAATTTTGATCGGCTAAGATCTTCAAAATAGAATATTGTATGAGTATTGAATCAAATTTCCAAATGTTTGCAAATTTACCAAGAGCTTTCACTATTTATGGTTGTCAAACATATTTTTCAAACTTTAGTTCATATAACAAGGTTGGTATTTTTTAGAGCGTATTATTTTTCTACCACTGCCGTCTATATGTCAGGTTAGGGGTAGTTACGGGAATACCTTCCTGGATAAAACATATAAGAACATTCAAGGTTTTTTCATTGATCAAAAATAAATGTCTTGAACCCATTTTTTTTTAAAGAAATATAAATCATTACCTATGCGTCACGAACTTTCTTTTCTTTTTTCTTCTTCAAGAATGAAGGAGTTCTTAACCCCTTCTTCTTCTTTTTGTCCTTCTTTGGAGACCCTTCAGAAACAGAGTGGTCCTGAAAGAAAATTCATTATTAAAAAAATACTGAAAATACACTCAAATTATTATTTTCTCATACTTTCTGAAAATTCACAAATGGAAGCAAAAACAATACCTATTTATCAAAATAATGTGTAAATAGTGAAGAGCATAAGTTTACTGCAGATACGCAAGTTAACCTTTGTAGATGTGGTGCACTTATTGTAGAGATAACGCCACCTGGCCACATATTTATAGTTGAAATATGGTGCTTTCCAGGATACAATTAACATTACATAAGAGTCCAATGAAGACTTTTCAATACTGCAAACACTGCCTCTCGATGCACTTTTCATAAACCATTATCAGGAAATGACTACATAAAAAGTATTATTTAAAAATAGAAATGAATTAACTGGGGTCACCTCATCAATAGGAATCTGTTAGACAACGTAGGTAATTTTTGTTTTAATCTAACAATTGTATGATGAAATTCTTTGAAGGGTGTATAGATGCCTAGGAATGGTTCGATTCTGATGGATTATGTCATGAGTCTGAAACTCTTCTTGCAGTCCATCCAGTAGTTGTTTGTGTGGCGAGAGATCAAGACCAGATACAATCCAGACCTATTGGGCATAGTTTTCTTGCACTTCCATAACAAATTGAACGTTACTTGGCGAGACCCAGTTACTTCTAGGGCCGCTTGGCTATATCCCAGAATATTTTTAATAATTTATGTTTGAGGTTGGTTCAAATCAGTCTTCTCAGATAAATCAATGGCATAGATTTCTGTCTAAAATAAGCAAGTATAGGTTCTAGGGCTGCAACTGTAAACACCTGCACCAAAACTGTATATTTTTTATCCATCAAGGCACCGATAATTATCTGATATTAGTATTTCCTACTCCCGGAGATGCCAGTCCTCTCAAAGTCTGTTTTAAGCAATTGGCAATAAGCATGATTCTGTATGTTGTCCATCTAGTCTCTCTTTCTTTCTCTCTTTCCAAAAATATGTGAAGAGGAGGTAGCTCAATAAGGATTTCTATGACTGATGGCACCTGAGATAGCCAGCCAAGCCAGTCATTGTTCACGTTCGTTGTAACTGTTTCAGCCACCAAGCAATACTCTCACATATCTAATGAATTTTTTTAGACCCTACACTATGAAATTTTCCAGAAATTCTTCAACATGTCCCTAGTTATAGGCTGGCTTTTTGTAGAACCTTTTCTAAGTGAACGTTCAACAACAGTTTTATTTCGATAATGATAGATTTTTCACTTCCGTTGCAAATAAAATAATGTCAACGAAGGAAACTGAATACCAACTATGAATATTGTGCAACCTTCTTCCTGGTGATGGGTCGTCAGTATGAGCTTGCTGATTCACCTCTCTTCTGTCAAGATAATCAAGCAATCTGTATCTCAGAAGAGACCACAGAAGGCAGATATTACACTGCCCTGACACTGACCTTAAAACCTAATGGTCTGTGACTTTCGAGTAAATTTCTATTTATGAGCATAGCGTGAATTCAGTCAGTGAGCTTAAGCATTGTTTGTACTCTTCAGTAGATGCTAATCCACTTTCTTTATTTACTCCTTTGAAAGTTTGAAAGCTCATCTATAATGGAAAGTCTAGATGCTGAACCAATTGGATACGATGTTAGGGGCAGGTAGAATATTCAAATTCTCAGAATTCAAAAACGAAGCATTCGTGATCCAACAGCGCTGTTTCAACCCACCATAGGTCTCATCAGTGGTTCTGAACTGAACCACGAATGCATTACCTGACCTTAAAGCTGAGAAAGTAAAAACGATGACATCTCTCTTTACAAAAACGCCATCTGTGGGATCGACAAAAGGCTCAACCACGAAAATCAAAGATACACGAGATTCTTCAAGGCGGTGAGTTGCCAAGCTTTGACATCGACCGCCGAACGGGCTTTGGTTTCAACTATTTGCCGTGCAGTGAAAAACAGAGGATAAATCTTTTTCGGTGGTAGTTGTTGAAATTTGTCTTTGCAAATGAACATTTTGGAGCGTCTCGTTTATCTTTTGATATTCGTGGATTGAATCTATAAATGAAATGCCACTGGAAATGATGAAATTCTAGGGGGCTACAGCCACCAGTAGTCTAGAGACAATAGAATACCCCTTAGTAAGCTGTGGGAGGCGATGATGATCCTGAATCCCATTCTCAATAATCAACGAAAAAATCGTTGAACATCGTTGAACACTCCAGCCTAATTAGAATGAAACTTGGACATGATCAAACGAAAAGAAATCATACTAGATTTGGTCAGTAGATAATGAAGAATTGAAAAATATTTTTTACTCTCTCTTTAAAGAATGATACAGTGTAATTTCCGTATGAGAGCAAGAATAAAAAATTATGCTGTGCACCAGAAAATTGCTGTAGATATATAGAAAATACGTACTGTTACATTAACTGGGTTATACCAAAGTTATCATAAAGAATATATTTTTTCTTGAAATTTTAGCACCCTGCAGTTCAAAGGTTGAGACCTTAAAAACATATATTCATTTGAAGTTTTTTTCTTAAAAAGGACCCAACAATAACTCCTTTCGATATAACACTACTGTTAGAGCAAGAGGTTGCATGTAAAAAATGTACACTTTACAGGAGAAAATATTTCATTTGTTCATTAGGATTTGAAATTTCATTCCCAACTGCTTCTTCCATTGAATGAAATATAAAATGTTACTTCTGGAACATAAGAAAATGATCAGTTTTTACACACTCCTTGGCCTTTTGCACCAACAGTAGTAATAAGTATATTATTAGAAAATTCCCCATATGTATGTGTGAAATGGAACAAATGAAACCTTACCTCTTTACTACTCTGAGAGAGTGTGCTCATGTGGGCATCCGACTGGTCCCCATTGAAAGTATTTTCTCCTAGAATAGTAAAAAACTATCATCAAAATATATTTTCAAATTCAGTTTTTGCAACATGACTGGTTTGAAAGTTGCAAAAACTATTTATAAGCATGCAAACAAACAGAAAACAAAAAGTTAGTAATGTAAGACAAGATTACCTTGTTATGGTTTACCAAAACCAAAAGAATCTAACTTATGCGAAGTACGAAGTTACTTTGGAAGAAGTTATAAACTATCGAACTTCCTGTAGTGATATTAATAATGTGAAATTTTTTTGAAGCAATACTCTCAAATTGGCATTTTATCTTCAACCAGAAGATTTCTTAGAAATGATTATGAATTACGACATGTAAATGTATCATGACACATCATAAAAGTCAGTTCTACAACAATCTTTTCAATTTATTTGAATTTTACATATTCATCAAAGATAAAAACTTTAAATAACTCACAAAATGTAATCAATATTTATGGCTGGTTCATAGAGCAAACTTCAACCTTTCAGGTAAATGCCTGCCAGAAAACATTTACCAGAACCTATTGTGAGGTAGTTGGAAAATATGAATGTTTTGAAATATTCATTTTCTTGTACGTATGTATCTCTCTTCGATTCAGTTTTGAGACACGTTTTGATATCTGCATCAGTCACTTTGCTGTTTGGGTCGGATCTTTCCTTCATTGATGAGAGGTAATACCTTGAAACCGGCCTGTAGGTGAGCTACTCGAATAATTTCAGCATGGTCTTGCTGCTGGATGAACGAGACTAACCACTGTGAGGTATCTTGCATGAATGTCAGATATAATTCAATATCCAACGCGGTATCAGACGGGAAGTAGTTGTTTACCGGCAGGGATTTACCACAACCTACTGTGTAGGTTTGGATAGAATGTTTTGAAATTTTATTTCGAAATGTTCTACTAGAGATATATAAAGAATCATTGATAGGCTAGACTCAAGAGTGATATACATGAACTCTTTTACAGAGAAATTCTTTTAAATTTGATATTTTCATCAACCTACTTCCAAAAAGTACAAAAAACTTCAGCGATGTCTCATCAAACATTGCTTCTATACGCTAAGTGAATATTTACAATATCTTTTTTAAGATAAAAAATATTTTAATAAACGACAATGTTAGCTTCTCTGATAACTCTCTGAAGACTTGATAATTGCACTATTCCAGCATAGTAATAATATAGTAAAAAAACATAAAAAGTTGTTTTATAATGCTGTTGGTGGTTTATGTTTCAAAAGCATATGTAAGGTAAGTCATTGGCAAAATTATGAAAAAGAAAAAATCCAGTATTGTAAGATTTTGAAGATTTATGATATTTACATATAATCCAATTCAGAGTATTGCTTCAGATTAATAATGCAAAATAATTTTTCGAACTGAACCTATATTCAATAATTGAGTATAAAGTATATAAAGGCATATCAACTTATACAAAAACTGTTTCAACTTCAAACATTTTTGAACTTAAATGTACAAACAGATCAGTGAAACTAATTTAGATAATCAGAATTTGGCAGTCTCATAGCCCATCCAGTCTCCAGAATTGTCAAATTCATTTTCTTTATTATCTGACTGACTATTTTTGAAAGTGGATGTTTTGGATGCGACATAAGCATTTGTATTGATTGTTTTCGTTCTAAAAAAATTAACTTCATTTGATAAAACAACATTACTTTCAGGCCTATCAAAAGATATATAAGAATCCATGCAACGTTCTGTTAAAATCTTGTCTACTTTATCTGAATCATAACTGCTTTCCACATTATTATTATCTTGATTATAATGCTTGTTGAAGTTAGAATCACGTAGAATATTGAATTCATGATCGTCCATGAACTGGTAAAATAGGTTGACACGAGGTTCTTCTATGATCGGGGATAGTGCCCTTTTTGGAGCAATCAAGTCTTCTGGTGGTCTTAAAGGTATGTCATCCACATTTATAATTGGTCTTTGAGGAGTATCTGGCTTTTTCGGAAGACTCGGCGAATTTGACACTGACATCCAATAGATATCGGATCCAGACTTTACGGTTTTCTTGTGGAAAGTGGTAATTTCAAAATTTTCATCTTCGTTATCTCTCACTTTCCTCTGCTTCCTTTTCTGTTCTGGGGTAGAGTGAAAAACGCTTTCATCACTGTTATCAAGAGGTAAAGCAAACTCTGCAAATTGTCCACCTGTTTCAAGAGAATTGAAGAAATGATCTAAGATATCATTCAAGAACTCTGAAATACTGAACACCTTGTCTGAAACTGTATTCGAACCACCAGAATCTCCAGAATTGTTGAATCGTTCGTCGATTTCGAGAAGTTTCAACGTATGAGTAGCTAAAGAAACTCTGATCTCATTTTTTTCCTCAGGGCTTAAATTAGTTCTATAAAACTCACTGTAGACTTGAGTCATCTTTGTTAAAAGCTTAGAAAAGTTTGAATCGTGTAATACTTCCGGGAACAAAATCAACTCTTTGAGCTCATAGCACTGTTGTATCAAATATTCCAGAATTAAGTTAGAAAGCTGGATAATAATCTCTTCCACAGTCTTATCCAGGACTGCATCTTCATATACTGTCTCCATCATGGTGCAATCATCAATACCTTCATCTCTGCTAGTGTTATTAGGAATATTTAGATAATCCCTCTGATTATTTTCAGTGATTTTTTGAACATCAACTTTAGTTTGTTCATCTTTATTTGGATCCATATTCGTAGGATTCTCTGATATATCAGAGCTACTTCCAGTACTTGGAATCATAGCAGCCACCTCTGAAGTGATTTGAACTAAAGATTCATTTGCTTCTTGATCATCTTCATTAAACTCAATAATGTCTCCTTTCGTTGATTCATAATAACTTTCATTCATAACCTCAAATGATTCATACTCAGACTCTGAACTTAGATCTACAAGCATATGCTCTTGCATATTCGCCAAAATACGTTTCTCAAATGAGGTTGTTTTATTTGCATTCTCTGGTTTTGTTTGACAAGTTCTGTAACTGTCAATATATAAAGGTGTATAAGTAACTTTATTCAGGTCTTCTCGACTTGATACATATTCGAAATTGTTCATATAAGCTGTTTGACAGGCCTGATTATTCAAGACAGGACTTTTTCGGAAATTCAAAGCGCTTGCTAAAGGAAATATAAAGCCAGTCAGAGTTTCAAAAGGTATTTTCACAGAAACTGAATGGGCCTGCCCTAAATTAATAGTCACAGTAGAGTTATTAGATTTAGATCCATGATTAAAAAGATAATGAGATGACTTGTTATGTTTTGCTACAGAGACTAGCACAGGACGTCTAATTGCAATTTGGGTTTGACGTGTAATGTGGAAATGGGTTGGATTAGGAACCAAATAAGAGCCTTTCGGGAAACCAGCATGGCTATGGGTCCTGTAGTACATGGGCTGTATCAATTTATGACCTGAAAGAGATTCTGATTGTTGTAGATCTGTTTGACAAATGACATTTGTTACCCTACGATCTGTAATTTGCTAGAAGCGAAAAAAAAAAACAAAAAAAGAAATGAAAAACGAAAAAGGATTATAGGCAGAGTTTTACTGGTTATTTGGACATTACACCTGATATTTGAACTAAACGTCAACTTACCCTTAAAGCTGTCTACAGATATCCTTTCAGCTTTGAGGAACTTTTCTACTGGAGAAGCTTCAACTGAACATGCAAAATAAAAAAAAACATGCCATCATGCTACATCAAAAACATCACCAATCATAGTGCAATCAAGGATCACATTTGAACATTTCGTTCCCAATGGCATTGAAGAATGGCTGTCCAATGCATCAAAATTTTGTCGAGTTTTGTTTTGTACTGAGGCAAATTTTGAAAAACAATTTCTCAACTCTGTTCAATCATAGGACTTCAATTATGGTAATAATATATACACTAAATCAATTCCAAATTCATTTATCTTGAAAATACTTTCACTTTTTGATCTTAGTTTTCTATTCAATTGACTTAGTAATAATGTTAATTGGCCTAATGAAATGTGGTAATTCAATTTTAATGGAAATTAAACATGAACTTACAATTCTGATACTTTCAATTTCAATTTCAACAGACTTCAAAGATTATTGAACAAAAGTCATTTTTTGTGAAGGAAGTCGCAGTTTTTCATTGACTTTTTTGTGAATTTTCATCTTTTACAGTTGTATAAAGATCTACATTATATATTTTTTCAATTTGTGGTTGTTGAAAATACGGAAAAAGGTTGATGAAAAACTTTAAGGAAATGGCTCAAAGGGAATGAGTATAACAAAGCCAAAATTGAGCGAGCAATACTACCCAGGAAAGAAACTGTAAATGAAACAGTTTTTTGGCTTATGTGAAAAACGTTGCAGACTGGATGGGAAGAATTCTGGAGAAACGTGAAATCAATATTCAGGCCAACAAAAACCATCAGAAAGAGTCTAAGGCCAGCAGAGGCCCCAAAAGAAGAAATACTGAGAGTATACCAGATTTCATTGTAGCTTTATATCCGACTCTCTGAACACAAGTGATATTGTCTGAGGCATATCAATGAATCAGCAGAAGCAGAATGTGCATTCGGAGAGGGCACCTATGAGATGGCCTTTGAAGAGATTCACGTACTTGATAGAACTCCGCGCTACTATAAAAGACTATTTAGGGAGGCGATAGAATTTCTGAAAAACAGAAACAATTTCAATAGAAAGGCAGAGGAATTTATCATCAATTAAGTCTGGCTCCCTGCACTTAACTGCATATATTATATTGGGTCATTTAATTCATCCAATAGGATAAAAGCAGAGACTCAAACCATCAAAGTTGTGTCTGCTGCAGTCATGGAAAAATCCTGATGCAATCATTTTTCACTTCTGATGTATTTTCTGAGTGAATAAAAAGTTGACTTTTGAATATTGTCTTTGATTTCAATTGAAAAAAAAAAACATCAAATACATATACTTCATTACTAAATTTGTGAATATGTAGATAAACCTACTTATGAATTTTTAATCTCGTCAGTAATGATCTTTCTTAAGACTGCATCATTGATTTTATATCTAATCATAAAGTTTTGCAAACACATAGAATAATTTAAAGCACTGATTATTATTTAGATGTACTGTTTATGATATTCACCAACAGATTAAGAAAACATTACTTACGTAAAATTTTCTCAAAACAAACAGAAACTTGTTTGGGATATCTTCATTACATTGAAAATGCCAAGTCTTTGAATAATTATTTACTAAGTACAATTTTTTACCCAACAAAATTCGGCAGTGCTCATTCAATTGCCAATTATATGCTTTCAGTAAAGAGTACTTTTCTGGGAAAAAACCTTTGGCCTTTCTGATTTTTCACTATTACATATGGGGTCTTTCATTAAGTGCTTCCCATCTTTTAATTTGAATGAAACAGAGTTTGTGTAAGATATCATCGAAATTTTGTATTCGTTTGAATAAGTGACAACTAAATTGACAGACAGCTTCAACAAGATGGCTGTTATCAATTGTCAAAGTTCGGAAGTCCTTGTTGCAAAAGACTATAGAAAGTGAAAAACTTCTAAAGAAAGGAAAAAAAAATTAAGGAAGATGGAGAAGTGGAAAGGCAAAAAGATTTTTTCCCAAAAACTAAATTTTCATAAAAATGTTCCCTTTTGAATGCATGTCAACATTCCATCTTTCCTCAGCCAACAAGTAAATTATACATCTAATACCCCTTAGAAGTGGGAATGAGGCATTAGTTGAAAAATTTGGGACTTTGCGATAAAATCGCACTCAGCAGTCATTAGAGTTTGTAATTTTTTCAAGGAAAAATAGCTATATTATAATAACTTTCAATTGAAGGTAACTCATATACAAATTGAACTGAGAGCTAACGGCAACAACGTTAAATGTTAGAACTAAATTCTTAACGGGGTCATTTTTATTGTCTATGCATTGCCATTGTTAATAATTGACAGGTTCTATTATGTCCTGGTCTAATTGAATTTGAATCGTCTGGCATTGATGATCGGTTTTACCAATTAGTAATTTCGGTAAACAATCTTCTTTTGAAATTTGGTTGTCAACATGGTATATGCAGGTATTTTCAATTCTCGTACAGGGTTCATCTTCATAATGATGGTAAGTCGAGTTAAGAATTATATAGGGTTTTAAAGGAACGATAGCTTGGTTGAGTATTGGAATTGGGAACAAATGGAAGTAATCATAAACATTTTCAAGAAGTATCAAAAAATGAATTGCAAATATAATAATTCCATTTTTATAATTAATTTCAATTTTTAGTAATTTGTTATACGACTGAATGTTTTTAAAGTTTGGTAAACTGCCTTTGTAAAGGTTTAACATTATTTTTATTAATTCTTCGATATCAGATAATGGTAATATCGTGCTATGAATGATGTTTAATTCTGCAAATAAAATTGAATCTTCAATGTTATTAAGTATTGATAATATAATTTGACAATCTATTATCATTGTATCAAGAGAATTTTGAAGTCTTAAGAATAGTGTGAACTTATTCAGATTTAAGACAATACTTTTTATTTGTTCGTCAATTAATTGTTGGTTTTTAACAATTTGCTGTAAGCTATTCGTAGTTTCGTTCATAAATTTTCTTGTGATAGTTAGGTAATTTTCTAAATCATGGTGAAGCATGTTCTGATTCTTTTCCAAAGTGAAAATTGCTTTATTATATTTTTCTGCATCTTCATCATCTAAAGTACCAAAGAGCCATTTACTTGTTCTGCCTACTATATTAATAAGTGCCCTTTTCGATCGATTATTTTCTTGAGGTTTAATATTGATTAATGTAACAAGATAGCTTCTGCATATCGATAGGATGTATGAGCGAATAGGTGAAACAGTTCGTTAAATACTTTGAAACATCGGTAAACTGATCAACACTTCGCAGGTCCATTATATTTGCGTCCTTAAAAGGCCATAACTAGTCATTCGGCTTCTTCATTATCAAGCGTCTTTATTTGCATAGGCGTAGTGTGTTCTGTTTCTTGTGAAGGTGACTTTGTTTTGTATTTATTAAATATATTTTATTATATTTATTAAATAGACTGTTATATTTATCAACTTCAAAATATAAGATAGAGTTGGGCGATACTTGTTTTTCAAAATACATTAATTATCATGGATTTTCATCACATTCACACTTTATTGTGAGATAATTAGTTGACCTAGTCATTAAACTCAGGTATAAATGTTCGTTAAACTCAGGTATAACTGTCATTAATTAGTTCCTAGAATATTATTAGTTTCTAGGTAGATAGTAATATTTCAAAAAGTATATATAAATCACAATGTATGTAGAATTCAGTTTGTTAGTGAACACTTGAAAAAGCTACTGTGCAGCGAAACGCGTGTTGCGGATTTGTCAATCTGTTCTAGTGAAAATCTCACAATTAAGGGTTCTTCAAAATACATCAACTTTAAAATAGTTTTTGAGGTAAGTAAACAACTGACAAATAGCTGAATAATATGATTGAATTTTATTATTTTTATAGTATTAATATGGATGCCGTAGCAGGTCCAAGTAATGTACAAAGAAAGCGGAAGTTTATGTTGTTAGAAGAAAAACAGATTGTCTGTAGAGTGTACGAAAATTCAAAAAATACACTCCGTACAGTGGAAGCTGTAGCCCAGTGTTCATTTTTAACGGGAATATCCGTGTCGACAATTGAATGCATTGTACATGAAAAAAAAGGTGACTGGGATTGTGCAAGCTCCAAAAGTACATTGTCGTGGTAGAAAAAAAATTGAATTGGACGAGTACCAGAAAAATTTTGTACGCTATACCATTCATTCTTTCTTTTTTGAGAATAAAGCGCCAACCCTCGAATCCATTAGGACAAAGGTAATGGATAATGATCTCATTCCAAAAATGAGCAAATAGAAGTTAAGGAAAATAATAAAAGAACATTTAAAATTTTTATATGCCAAGCGATCCCGTAAATCTGCCTTAATAGAAAGAGAAGATATAGTGTCATGGCGACGGAGATATCTTCGCTCTATTAGAGAAATGCGTTCTGCTCACAAAAAGATTTATTATCTGGACGAAACGTGGGCGAATCTCAACGGGTAAAGGGCAACGACTAATTGTCGCCCATATAGGTAGCGAGAGTGGCTTTTTAGACGATAGTGAACAAATTTTTTTATCCAAATAAACGGGGGATTATCACGAAGACATGGACGCCCAACGCTTTGAAGGATGGTTTGAATCCCTTCTTTCACGAGTCGAGCCAAATTCGGTAATAGTAATGGATAACGCTTCTTATCACAGCCGATTAGTAGAACAGCTGCCAATTCCTTTTCTATGTATGATGTTATATCCATACTCTTCTAATCTTAAGCGCCATCTTACTGATTTTTAAGAAGGGTGTTTTAAGTTGAATAACCATTGGAGTGGTTTATGATCGGTAACAATCGTAAATTTTCTAAAGTTCTTGAGGCATACGCGATGGGTTTATCTTTACCTAGAGGGCCTTGTGATAACACAGCTCCAATTGCTACGTTAGAAGCATGGGTTGTCAAGATGAAAGGTTTACTAAAATCGAGATATTGAAGAAGAGGTTCATTAGTTAAAACTTGTTTACATTTTTCGAAGGTTTCTAGGAATTCGGCAGAATGAAGGATTTTCTCTCCTTTTTTTAGACATTGAGTTAGCGGTTTTGTTAATTGCGCGAAATCTTTAATAAATTTTCTATA